TCCAGATCGTTTGTATGTGCCATTCGTGTATATAAATTACAGTTTAGTATGTATAACAACATTTCAGGATATATGGTGGCATACTTCGCCATTAATATACTTAAACATACTGACTTTCATCCTTTTCTCCACAAAAAAGCTCAACATTGTTTTAGATTAGCGAGCCTATGGGCCTTTTGGATGATTGTTATCAAGTGACATTTGTTTTAGCGAGCAATTTCAGAGTGAGGCTTTTTAAACAAACACTGCTGGGTTGCCTGACGCTACTGGCAAGAGCACTCCACAATTAGGCTGGGGCTCCGTTTCAGTACAAACAGAGATATTTCGATTTTAAGCTTTCGTGACTGCAGGAATTCATCTTCTTGGTTCGGTAAAGTCACGTAGAAAGAACCAAGAAGACAAACGGAGATATGTTTTACTTTTATAATGACTAGAGCTTGTTAATATTTGCTGCATTTTTATGACATTCGTGATATTCTCAATAAATAAATAAATACCATTTAGTCAAACGCATACATACACACACACACGTGCACACGCACCGGATTATAAGATGCTCGGGGTTGGGAGGAGGGAGGCATGTCTTGTAATCCAGAGCATATGGTAATTGAAAAAAAAATTACGTCCTTTGCAAAAGCATATTATAAGCGTCCACGTTGGCGCTCTTAAAATTATAATTGCATTTTAAAACACGCGTTCCCCAACGTGGTTAGTCGCTTTTTTATTTTCAAAGCGCCGTGTTTCGTTGCTGCGTAAAATAAATGTTACACGTGCGCTTCATCAATCGTCGGCTGCCTCTCCAGTGCTGTCCTCTCTGAGTGCCAGTGGAGCTGACTACAGAATGTACATCATTCTTCTTAATTACTAAGCATCAATCCACGAGCCTGTACAGACTAACCCTGGGCCACACTCGAGACTTGCTCGAATCCGGCTATGCGTCGGTAAACTGAATAACTGAAAAGACATAAGACGAGCAATACTAGTAATAATGGTGATAACGGCACGTGATCAAATGAAGCACAACCAATGAAAGGATTTAGATGGGTTTTAGCTGCAGTGCGCTCTGTGTTTTTGGAAGTGTGAGCAGGGTGGTAAATATTTAATGCACGTGTCAGACAGAGTCAGTTTGGCACTCTTTCGATAGCTGTCTGGTGGGGCTCGGATCGTGTTACAAAACAGCATTACTCTTACCCCCTGTCTTGTTTCACTACAATATTCGCGGTTCCCAGAGGGTGTCCTCTGCCCAATGCTGCTCCATTCTTCGTACAACGAACGCACCGTGTTGTTGTCACGTCATTTGTTGGGACGCGACTGGACAATGCTGCCGAATGCGCGTATCTTGGTGAATTATTCGAAGGCTGGATCAAGTTCCAGATTATGATAAAAATACAGGTGAACAAGAGAAGGTTGGGGAGTTATACGTTGTTGTATTTTTACAGAGTTTCAGAATGAAAAATAAACGTTTGCCATCGTGCCCGAGAAAGACGAGGGCATTTCACCCGCTCGGACTTATGGGTCAAGGCAACATTGAGGCTTGAAGCGCAGGGGACAAACTCGAGAAGGGCACACGTGGTGTCGAGGAACAGATACAGTTCGTACCGAGACAGCACACAGACCATCGAGGACAAGTGAATGAGGGGGGGGGGGGCTTGTGTAGGACACCTCATTGGAAGCGATGATGAACCAATGGACGAGACTGGTGATGGAATCAAGTTCAATGGTTTCGAATAATGTTTTTTTTTGTTCAACCAGGGTGAGTGAGCGCTCAACGAGGCCGCAAGAGTGAGCCTCCGTTCGCGAGAGGGGACTGGGTTGCCGACGGTTGACGAATGAAAAAAAGAAGTCAAAAAATAATATGCAGCAATGAAATGTCAAAATCTGAACGATAAAAGACCATCACCACACGAGGTATAGCAGTCAAAGGAGATACAACGCCGGAGAGTGTAACCGATGGGAGTATTGAGATGAGTTCGTGTGATTCAGATGGGATTCAGGATGGACGTGGGGAGGCTTACATCCAGCAGTGGCCAGGCAGTGGCTCATGTTGATGGTAATGCTGTATATAGAGTCAGACATTTACGTGCTGTATTTGAATGAGAACTTTGTATTTATTAATAATCATGTGTGTCTGTGTGTGTCCGTGTTTCATTGTGCGGTGAACGGTGGCGCAGTGGTTAACGCACTCCGCTACGAACTCGACGATCCGATTGCGATTCAAGTTCACGACCAAACAACAGTAGTGAATATTTAACTAGTCCTGGGCCTCCCCTAGGTCCACTCGGCCTTAAAAATAATGTCCATACCTCGTGCGATGTGTAAACATCAGCAATGGGTAGACAAAGACGGCCAGGCTGACCTCCACCCTGTCGTACGCCATGCCGGCCTTCACAGGTGTTCGCGAAAAGCACTCGCCCCAACAGTTTGTTTCGGCAGTATGGTGATCTCTGTCTTTGTATTGCAGCGTGGTGCCACTTGCTGCATCACAGAATGCCTTCCTTAATACATTGCAGTGAGTGTAAATTGATGGTTGCGATCGTGCTGCAACAGGAATATTCATGTGCCACGTAATGCACTCACACTCATCATCACTTTATAATATACGGTGTTAACGTGAAGATTTATTTTTATTTAGTCGAGTGTCTCTGTTTTGTTTCGCTTGTTAATATTAGAAAAAAAACATGTTGGCACTCCGCGGAAACAAAGTAATCGTTTATATAACGCTGATGCTATTGCTCATGTTGTTGCGAAGAGAACGCCTTCTTCCCAAGTGCCGCTGCAGATCTTTCACAGCACCTTAAGAGAGGCCCACTTTACTGACTAGCTCTCCCAGCTTGCTTTAAGCTAAATTATAAAATGTCACAGTCAATGTACATTGAAGGTTAGGATTACAGTAAGAGTGTGGGTTAGGAGTGAAGCTGACCCAAGAGCTCATTATCACAGTTATATCTTGATTTGAAGCTTTCGTGACTGCAGGAATCCATACTCTTTGGTTCTTTCGGTAAAGTCACGTAGGTAGAAAAAAATTAACCCGTAAAAACAAAGTTTTTCACTATAAATCCTTTATATGCGTGGCGGCTAGAGTCCTCTCGTCCTCTGGCTTGAGATGGCTGCCACCTATGGGTCAGATGATTGCCTGGCAGCATTAAGCAATTGGTAATTAAATATAAATAAATTCCTAAAAAGTGTAAAATTTTGCACATTTTTTTCACGAAAATTAATTGTCACGCACAACGAGTCTGTGTGCAAAATGTCAGCTCGATTGGATCACGGGAAGTGGGTTAAAAAACGACCTAAAGATTTGCACGGTCGTAAGTGCGCAAGCAAGCAAGCAAGTGAACTTAATATAAAGGATTTCAATAAAAAACGACGGAAAAATTTGCACGGTCGTAAGCGCGCAAGCAAGCAAGCGAACTTAATATAAAGGATTTAAAAATAATCGATCACGACGTTTCGATCGCAACACAAGCAATCGGCCTTTCTTCCGCGGCCTTTCTTCCGCCTGATGACGATTGCTTGCGTTGCGATCAAAACGTCGTGATCGATTACGTGTTATTATTGTTGAAATATACCGACAGCCTATATTTTTTTTATTTCATATAAAAAAAATTCTGACTTTTCACAGTTTAGCATTCTGCCACTCTCTTGTAAATACATTGTGAGGACGAATCTGAACACTGGCCTTGGATGTGACCAGTCAACTTTTGTCTTTGTGTGCTTGTAGGTACGAATGTACGCATGTAAACGTGTCTAATGCGGTTAGAGCAGTGATCGGGGTGTTCGTTTTGCATGAAATTTTTCCGTGTCTATCGATCATATCTATATTAAGTCTGTTCACTGAATTTGAATGCAAATCTGAAGGCCGTATTTACGACCGAGTGCCTCTGTTGATCTTGCCTGGAGGCCGTCCGAAAACAGCGTGGAGGCCGCCGCTTGCTAGTTAGGCAAGGAGTTAAAGTTCAAGCGGCAAGGCTGGCTCAGGGAATATAAAAACATGTTCAAAGCTGAATTGCATGTCTGCCGCCGTCGCTGCTTTCTAAACAAATTTAACTGAAATTACATTTTTAAAATGTATTTTGTATCTTACCAGGCAAGGCCCACTGAGCTATATATATCTGTTTTTAAGATGCGACCTAGCCACAAATGATAGCCCAATGTGGAAATGTAGAGCAGCCAAATCTTCTTAACTGATGTTGATTCTAAATGTTGAGGGAAAAACCGGAAGACCCGGAGAGAAATCCACGCGACCACGGGGAGAACACGCAAACTCCAAATATGCAAGCATTAGGGTCCGGATCGAACCCATGACCTCCTGCATGCTACCAGGCGAGATAGCTAAGATCACGCCACTGCTGCTGTCAATGTACTTCTAGGCCATAGTCCCTGGGAAGAGGACCTCAAGTCCACCACTCGGTTCATTTGAGCTCTGTCAGACTGTGGGACAATTGATTTCTGAGAAAGTGTGTGGCATTGAAGGGCAACTTTCCCTTTATGCACAGATGAATATTTTTTCAAGTTTGGCTTTTGCGCGAATTCAATTATCAAAGAGCCTTGGTAAAAACGTATCACAGGGACTCTCATTTAAGGAATACTCAACACGCACGGCGGTTTGTTAATTCACTGCTGGATTAGGGCCATCTTATGTCGTGCGGGTCGGGCTTTGGGGTTATTTGACCGGACTTCACCACGCTGGTCAGTGCGGAATGGTAAATGCACGGATCATAGACATTTAAGCATAGAGAGAGCAGTACAACAATAGATTTTGCTGCACTGCCCTGTGAAGCGATGTTTCGCCGGTAATTATAACAAGCATCATCAGGCGACAGCCAGATATTGTAAGGAATTGCCATGTTTTGTTTTGTTTACGTGACAAACCTTACGCATTGGCCGTGTCGGGTGGCGGCGGGTTTAACGACACATTTATATTCACGCGATCTAACGCAAACACCTCTATTATGGATACAAATCATTAATCCTTAAGGTTTTTTTTGGGATGTGAACAGCTCCATCCGGTGACCAGACCCAGCGCTCGTGAAGTCGAACACGCCGGAGCTCGCTGCCAGCTCGCTCACCGTGACGACTACAAAGATTGCCACTGTGTGTGAAGCAAGGAGGGCATCTTCAGGGTCCAGCTGCTACTATTGGTAGAGGTGAGAGAAGTGACTCACGCCCTGCTGCTCGTTCGTGTACCTTCTCTCGCCCTGTCTCCTAATTTTTTCAAGCTTTCGCACCGTACCACTCACCGTGCCACTCATTGACATGCTAATTTCTCTAACCCCTCCCTCTCTCTCCGCCCCCGCCCCCTCTCTCTATTTAAGGCCTCGACACAGAGGCGTTGTTTCTCTGTGTGCCTATGTTTGTTCTCTATGTATCTCTGTGATATCTGTCTCTACTTATGTGTCTGTCTATATGTCTCTGGTTCTGTGTTTTATCTCTCTCTCAAATTTAGCATTCTCAGGAAGAACGTAATCAACCAGATAGGGTGTTGACTGTTATGTTATCCAACTCTCTGTTGTATTACATTACGTTTCTAAGTATACTAGATTTGTGTTTCTATTTCATTTATACCTGATGATGATTGCTTGTGTTGCAATCGAAACGTCGTATGCTAGTATTTAATTTATTATGTTATCTTTATACGTGACTTTACCGAAAGAACCAAAGAGTAATTCCTGCAGTCACGAAAGCTCCAAATTAAGTTAGAAATCCTCCTGTTTCAGTCTTAAACCTTTTGTTTCGATCTAACCCAAAAAAAAAACGATTATGGATAATATTGGTCGCGAAAGCCTTCGTGTTCAACTGCCCTCTGGTGTCTATCACGTATCCCTGCGTGTTGTCCTTCACCCGCACCTCCGATTAGACACGGTTGGCTATGTACGGTGGGAAAGAAGTGGAACGCACACACATGCACACGTACATACCGTAGCAGCCTACAACAACCTGAAGTGCACTGTGCTTGCCCATATAGGCGCTAGCCAGGCTCAAGCCCGCTTAGCTTCCGATCTCTGACGAGATCCAGGCACATTCTGGGTGAATTTCGTTGCACGCAGCGAAGGATCGAATTCATGTGATGGAAGTGAAAAGGCGAGAGGAAGAATAAGCTGAACAAATATCAAAAAAAATGCACAAAACAGTTTGCGCACAGCAGGCTCCTGGAAACACATTTCAGGAGACATTACGTTACCACCGCCACGCACGGTAATATTAGCACACAGTCCGGGAAAATTGCTGATTGCAGGTGAGAATAGAGAACCACACTTGATACTCGCCATTTGGACGAAAGGAGAAAGAAGTCGACCAAGAATAGTCATAGCCGTGGACTCCACATCTGCATTAAATGAACTCCGCGCTTCTGTGAATTTCTTTTGTCCACCGTAATGACCGAGCAAAAGAATGCTGCTAGTCAGCTAACGGGGATCAGAGGAGCTTATAGCGCACAATCCAATATTCACGTCGCTCTGCACCTAGCAATTACCATAGTTCCTATCGCAAGAATCTACGCCAGTGAGCGAACGGCAGACTGAGTATTAGCGCAAGATTTAAAGCGGCAGTTCTACAAGATATAATATTAAGCCCGAGCTAAAATGTGATGTGCATTTGGTTCCCCCCCCCCCCCCTCAGGGAGTCACAATGTTGTGCAGCAGCAACGACAACAAAAAATACGACTCCAATGGCAGAGGAGCAAAAAGCAATGCACGCTGTCAAAAAGTGACAGCTTATTCACTATAATTAATGTTTTTCAACCATCAGCCAAGTGAATAATTATACATTTAAACTCCGTGACCCTTGTACTCAAAAGGTGGCCTGTCGGCTGGATTGATGTGTAAATTGTTAGATCAGTTCGAGAGAGAGAGAGAGTGTGTTATCTGCTCGGAGAATGTCAAAATGCGAGCAGCATAACTGCACCCTTTTGCCGATGTGAAGCCGGATTTTGTTGGTGTGGGGAAACATTGTGGCTTATTTGACTGCAGCTGTTGAAAATGTCGCGAACCATACCATTTATTCAGACCGTTACCAATTTATCAATTTGCTGTGTTTCACATGAACCAAGCTATTTTATTTACCAGCTAAAGCCAACTGAGCTGTTAGCTATTTTTCAGTGGCGACCTGGCCACACGTGATGATAACTCATAGAAATGGCTTATATCATCATCACACATTGTAATTTATAGTAGCAAGCCACGTAATCTAGATGCATGTTTCTGAATGTGGAGGGTAAACTCGAAGGAACCCAGGGAATAATCCACACCACCACCACAAGGGAACTCCAAATATACAACAGGCATCGTCAACATCTGGGGTCGAAACCTCGACCTTCTGTATACCAGGGGAGGGAGATAACATTTCACCACCTTGGCGCTTATAGGCATAACCTGAAAACAAATGCTGAAGAAAAGGCAACAGCGCATATGCAAGGAAATATATGGGAAATGTTGGTGCCGTGCAGGTGGATTCTATTTAAATCGTAGCTGAGAGACGAGCATTACTCTTAGTGGGAGAGCGAGTCACAAGCTAAGGATCAGAGGTCATGTGAATGAATTTCAGAAAGAGCTCTGTGGTATCCAGTTCCGTGAGCCGTTTTGTGATGCAAACGGTTGCGCGGCACTGCGAGAGAGATCTGGAACCTTCGAGTCACGATGCTTTTTCTCATGGCTCGACACTGAGAGCACAGTCGGGATACAATTTGGGGACAAAGACAAACAAGAAAAAATGAAAATCAAATCTTATCACAAGGAGTGGATGTTGAATTACGCAACTGTGATTCAAGGTATTATTTGAAGGTCGTGTGTTTTTTTTTTTTACAAAATTTATTAAGTGGCAGCTGATTCCTGCTGCGTGCAGCTCGCAATGCTGCTGCTCATTGTCAGTCGACGTTAACCAAACATCCACTGCTGTTTGCTAATTTCTCTCTCTCTGCTACTGTTGCCTAAAGATCGCGCGCAGCTCACTGTCAAATGCTATACATTGTGGAGAGCGAGGCTCATTAACGGCAGCGAATGTTGCGTGCGGTTCATTACAGCAAACAGACGTACTCATTTTGGTTTCGTGTACAATGATCATTCACTTTCTGTGTTCTGTTTCCGCGGGAGACTTTGGCTGTAGCGGTGGGATACCGTGTTGGCTGGCGGCACGAGCAGTGTGAGTTCGCTTCCATGACAACCAGAGATTTTTTAAGATTCAGTCCATCGCTCGCTGCCCATGGCTCACCCATTTGATTCACTCACAAGTCGCGTGGTAAGGCTTCCAAATAGCGTTGCACAGTGACTCGCGAATTTATTTTTTCTGCACGCGGGCAGTCACGGTTGGCTTTCTCATTTGTTTTTGGCTCTGTCGTTGTCGCTAGAATTGTGTTTTCAGCAATTGCTCCCTTTGCAAGGGGGGCGCACACTCAATGTAGCCACATGTCTCTTGGTCAGGACGGAGCATTGCTGAGCACGAGGAAACCTCAGCGCACGTAATTCCCACTCTTTGAGCAGTTCTGATACGTGCAGGGGCCGTGCGATGCCGTGTCTGTGCATTCGTAATGCAAACATAAGCTGAACTCTGTTCTGATATATAAAACCAAAATGTGTTCCAGTCCATCAGTCTCTTGGTTTCATCGAGCAGAATTTTATTTACAGCAAGCAAACTCTGGACCGGTTTCGACCTTCGCACGATGATCAAGCGAATGTTTGCCTGGATTGACCAGATGTTTTTTTGTTTGTTTGTTAGCAAGGGCACTCAATACGAGATACGTGACCGCCTTCAACAGCTCTAAGCGTCAGCGGCAAATGAGCCTGTGCGCAATCTGTGGCAGCGCGGAGCGACGCAAGTTATTTTCGTAAAATAACCCCAAAAAAAAAACAAACGAAGCGGCCCGCGTGCACGTGCGTGCTGAGCGGATAGGTGCACCGACGCCCTTGGCAGTGATCGCGCTCGTTGTGGGGCTTGCGAGCCACGTGCCGGCTGGGCCACGCAAGTTGTAATGCTGACACTGTCATGCTGTCAATCGCCTAAAATCTATATTTAATCAAGGGTGAGCCTATTTCAATTCCTCGTGGTTTTTTTTTTGAAGAGGTAGAACGTGAGTGAGTGCAGTTACGCAAGGAATACTGTAGTTATTTTTTTTGTCGTGGTTTCAAACCCTCCTGAATGTAATTGTTTATTTCTTTCTGATTTTCGACGCGCTCACATCTTGGGTTCAAATCTCGCCGGTTCCATCCGTCATCTCATTGCCTCTGTGGTGCAGCAACAATCAGCTTTCTTCCACTTTGGCTTGTTTGTGGATTCTGTGTGTGTGTATATACAGCACTGTATACACAGATCTCTCATCTGCTATTGTACGCCTGTGTTCCACATATACAACATTTTCATGTAAGTCCCAAATTCCCCAAAGTAGATTTGCCAAAACATTGTGCCCTGCTGTGTCCACAGTCATCCATATGGAGGTGGGGAATGTCACACATTAATAATGTATACATTACGGATGTGTGGTTAGCGTGATTTTTTTTCATCCGATCGTGTGCCTGTTTTGTATCGGATATCTGACTGACAAAAAACGCATAGCCTGACCCACAATTATTGGAAATTGATCAGGATCGACCGGTCGGTCAAATCCAGCGTGGTTTGAATCCAATTGTAATTGCATCAGAGGCTCAGATCGATTCATTAACGTGAATCGTTTGATTGGATTATACATGCATGTAATTGAGTGTTGTGTGGGGAATCAATGGCAGTGTTTTTAGGATCCACACCATTTGTGTGAAAGTGTTGCATTAAGCCCCATGGATGGGAGGAAAATAAGCGAAGGGACAGAACAAAATTGACAGTAAAAATTTGACAAAAACAGTGGATTACTGGATGCACGTGCGATGCTGAATCGTGAAAAATCTATTCATCATGTGGGAGATAGTGATTTTTTTATATATATATAAATTAACAAATCAGAGATAGTGTTCTTAAATTCAAAATTGTTGAATTAAAATACTGTTTGATATTCGATATTTACTGCGTATTCTTCTTATAACTTTTTTATAATCCACAATTTAACTGGAAAGTTAATATACAAACATAAGCATTTAGTGTGATTAGACACCGTTATGTGTATGACGGCCACGGAATATATTTCATGGATTTAACTGCTTTCCCCGTGCACAAAATCAATATCGTT